TTTTATGGGTCTACTGTAATCTTCCATCGAAAAGTGCAGTCCAAATTCAAGATAAGTCGATCATAGAATCCAAAGATTCCAAAGGATAACTGAGATGTTCACAATAATGTACTTTTAATAGAAAGCGGCTAAGATCATAGAAGCAAAACCTTTGCTCTCGGCAGATGGAATCTTTTGAGAATCTTTCCCACCTTCCTCAAGTGTTGCTGCTGATATATCCACTACCACAACATCACCAACCTGCATACAATCAATGATAACCGAGATTACAGGGAAGTACTTAAATAGCAGAATAAAAAATAAGCAATTAAATAGCATCAGTAAAAGATTACAGGGAAGTACTTAAAGATAGTAGATAATTTTTTTTATAAAGCTCATATGCTGGAATTCAGAGAGAGAGAGAGAGAGAGAGAGAGCATCAGATTTGCACCACTGGAGAAAGAAGAATCAGTAAATCTATTTGAAAACTCTCTCTCAATCTCGCACTGGCTAAAAAGTAAATTCTAAAACCCTGACTTTATCTTGAAATGTAGTTACCAAAAAAGTTGGATCTTATTTTGTATACAATCTCTCGCCAATCCATAATATTACTAGTTCCACGATATCAGAACAACATTAAATGCCATTTTACACTACTAATGCAACTCGAACACAATCTATCTAACTTCTTATTATGGGTTAAATTTCAAAAAAAAAAAAAAAAAAAAAAAAAAAAAAAAAAAAAAAAACATTCTATATTTTGGATTAGAGGGGCTATACAGTAGAACACAGACTAGAGTGCTTGACCATGATGGCCTAACCGTACATGTTTGAGTTATGATATCTAGCTTCTAGCATCTCATTTACGTAATGAAGCTTTCTAGCATCTCATTTACGTAAATGAAGCTTTGATCAAATTTCTTCCATGATAGTAAATTCACTAAATTGAGATATGCTTGCTTAAAAATAGAATAAGTACTTTTCCACTCTCAACAATTACCTGAAGCCCTCTATCAGTCACTATTCTCATTGGACCTAATGTCTTATGGCGACGTTTTAGCTCTCGTTCGCAAGCTACCTCAGCAGTTATTTCATTATCTATTTCAACAACAATCTTTAAGTTCTTGTATCCATCTTCAGGATTCCATCTCACTTCAGGCATCACATCTACGACGATATCAAACCTGTATGAATTACACAAAAATATGATACAAGATGCAAGCAACAAAACAAAACACATGAATTTAGTAGTAAGATGGTCAGAAATCCTGAAAAGGTACACCACCAAGATGGTCCCACATTTACTTGTAATCAGACTTTCAAATCAGCTAAGCCCAATAAAAACGCACATCCTTAATTTTCAACCATCATATATTCAGTGTTTAGGCCGATTTTATATTCAAATGAATGAAGCCTTGATGCGCATACAATGAGTAGGTTATAGCTTCATCTTCCCAATTTGCGTAATATGCATCTAAGTTGCCTGACGTGCATGATACATATTTTTATCAAATTGTTACCAGAATACAACAGATAATTCTTCATATAATATAAATCACTTACTTCAAAGAATTTGATGAGGCATACATCTTCTCCAACTCTGCAAAGGAAGTAATGATTCTAACGGAATCTTGTAAAGCTATTTCATTTACCTTTATCAGATGACCAACAAAAAAAAAAGAAAGAAAATTAATTTGTAATCTCATCAAAGCAATTTTTTTCACAATAAAGCATAGTGAGGCTAAAGTATGAATGCAGAATGGTGCACTCATCAAGCAAAAAATTGGTGTATAAAGGCATTTCACATAAATAAAAAAATTCTATTGCAATATATTCAAAAGGAAATGGATTATACCGATGACAAGGCATGAGGAAGGGTCCTTTTGAGTATAGACTCAATAGTAGCCCTTTCAACATTTCGCTTCCCAGCATAGCTAAGAAGAATACTGTCTGGAACTTGCTTTCCAGGTCGAAATCCAGGAACCTAAGAATATAAAATCATAACTTGTATGAATACGAGTAATCAAAAGATATATATACAAAGACATGAACTAAGTTACAAGAAGTCCGGAAGGAAAGTGAGTGCAACCAACTCAACCAATCATTAAGGCAATACCATACCATTACTCTAATGCCTCTACAAGAATCCTGCCTAGAGCTGGGTAAGGAAGTTCAGTATATGGAGTTTTGATTACCAAAGAAGTCAACACTCCTTGTACTACAACTGTAATGAGATTGTTTGGGAAATTCCGTGGATGCATTATCTGCTCAGTACTTTACATCAAGCAAGCAGAATGGTTCATTGAGACATCTGAGTTATTGTGACCCAATAAATTCCCAAGAACTGGTTCCAACTTCTACTGAGTCGTACTATACATAAGAATTCAACAACATAATGGATTAAAGGTGAACATCACAAAAACATAAATATATGGACAAAAGCCCTAAGAAAACTAAACCACAGCACAATCTTCTGGCTCACATAAAATTATAAAAGGGAACGATATCCAAACACATATCAGCGCATCAAGCTTCAATGTGAATACAGGTCCTCAGAAAGGCATAATATTTCCTCCATCCCGCTTTAATAGGCCACATTTGGTTAAATGTAATTTTTAAAGGATTCACTAAAAGTACCATAGTTACCTTGTTTTTTTTTTTTTTTTACTGAATCTTAAGATGATAAGGACCAAATCCTTAGAAACTTGGAAGTAATATGGGAAAATTCATGATAAATCAGAATCAGTTATGAAGTGGCCTATCATTTGGGAATTCCACCATAGAAATATGACTTAGAAAAAGTGGGACGGAATATTTAATTCAATCAGTAAACAAATTAGGTATATGTCATGCATACATACAAAATTTAATCCAGGAGCTACTATTTACAAGAAACTTTCTAATAGGAAAGAAAAGTGTGGAGAGGAGCACCTTTGCCTGCTTCGAAAGCTCTTGCATAACTTTTTTATAGCAATCTTCACATACTACTGATGGAACACTCACAGTCAACTTGACCTGACATGAGAAAACACATCAAATTTAGAGGGAATAGAGGAAAATTCATTTGAATTCCATGATTTTTTTCAACTCACAAGACAAAATTCATATATAAATTTACATACTTGTAGAAAATTGAAATCACAGACAGTTCAATCATAGATAGGGAAAACAAAGATAACCCATTTATATTTTCAATAAAAGTAAACTAATTAAGCAACACCCACATGAAAACTCATCACTAAGAGAATAGCCCATATGGATTTTTAGTAAAATTTCAAGAAAGCAACCAATACCCAATTGAGAAAATCATCAAATTATGCTCAATAATGCAAAAAGATTACAAATTTAAAGACAAAAAACTTGAACAATTACTCTAGAATTGGGTTCTGTAATCTCTGTGATGTCAATATCAGCAGGAAGCTTATCTTCCTTTTCGGCATTCGCGGTCGAAGACGAAGCAGAGGATGAAGCTGATAAATGGGTTGGAGCTTTGGATAATTGGTGTTGCAGGGCAGAGAATTGGCGGGAAGAAGGAGAAAAATGGAGGAATTTGTAGAGGGTGTTGTTGGATTTGTTTAAGTGAAGAGGGTGGAAATTGTTGGTAGGTAAGAAAGAGAAAGAAGAAGAACGAGTATGGAATGAAAGATTCATGGAAATTGCTGAGCTCCAAAGTTCTGAAGACATGGCTGTGCTATACTGTTTTCAGTGGAGTGAAGAAGAGAGGGAGGAAGTTGTTTGATTAAATGGATAAATGTAATCTATGACTTGTGAATTGTGAATTTGGGATTAGATATTTGGTTTTTTCTATTTCATTTCTTTTCCTCTATTTTACGAGTAGTAATTTTTAATGAATCTCTAGTAAATACGAATAAAATGGTTCATTTAGTAAGTGGATTGTGGGTTGAACTTCTTACCTATCAATTCGATTTTTTAATTACTCTATTGGGTTTACTTTAATCTAACTGTTGATAAACAAATACTTGTATATTACACTACCGTAATACTCGTAAATTAGTCATCCGTGCTTGTAATAATTCATGTTTTGTATTTTATTCCATCGATTTTTAACTCAATTCGATCATGTAGGACCTCAGAATATTTACTTTTGAGCATTATGTCATTACGATATTGCTAAATATATTTGGAGAATTGGAGTAAAGGTGATACCATTCAATTAAATTAGAACAAATTCAAGTAAGCAGATAAAACCTATCCTACATTGGCGAATGATTTTCTTTACCCCTCTACATCACCCGAGTCTTCATTTATATTCCCCAACCTCTCCTCCCTCAGTCCCTCCTAACCCGAGATAGTGTAGATGTTAATTCATGTTATATTGTCATTTAACATGTAGGGATGAGTATTACCATAAGTCTTTTCCGTAAGAAAAAGGATTTTAATAAACTAGCACTTCTCACAAGCACAGTCAGCCCAACTATATAGATTAGTGCTAAGTGCTTGAGAGTATAGGGGATTAGGTAATGAACAACTCCTACTCCTTAACAAATGTAGATGATGATGGAGTCCCTCACCATATCCACCAAACAATCTTGGAATCACCCCTACTACTTTTTCATAACAATTCATCGTTTTAAAAAAAAAAGTTTGTCTAACATGTGTTCATGGGCACATGTTAAGTTATAAAAATAAATATTTTTGGACATTTTCGCTACCAAATTACTTAGTAACTAAAAACCCTATAAAAATAAAGTATATATGGGAATGGGGAAGCCTAAAAGGAAGTTTATGAACTCTCTCAATTTTAAATTAATAAAATATGAAAAAATTCCAAATTGATCTGATAGAATACTCATATTAATATAGAATATTTTAAGCGTTACTATACCTATAAATACATGTTAGTGACGCTCCTACGTTATTAAATATCTTTTAAAACTGTATAGTTATTTTTCAAATTTTAGGGATAGGAATTAATCCAAATTAAGCTCGTTTTCTCTCAAAGCTAAAACCTTATCTAGATGACTATGAGACTATCTATTTAATATCCTAGTCCTATATAATTACTCCTCAACAACGCAATAGCTAACCTCTTAAATAATCCATATCAAATTGCAAAAACCCTCCATTTGAACCCTGAAGAAGAGAAGAGAGATAAAAACAACAGTGAAACCAGTAAAAAAACACAACAACAATGGAGGGACCCTCCACAAACTCTAACACACACACTCACTCTCACTCTAACTCGCGCCCTGTAAGAGCTTCCCGCTACTTGTACGGCAACTCTTCTTCTTCCTCCGCTTCTCCGGCCACCTTTCGTGGGCCCGTTCGAAGGTGGGAGAAGAAATGGGTCCACGTGTCTTCATCTCACTCCTCCACCCCTTCTAAACCCCGCAAACTATTCCTATCCAACGGTCTCAAACCATCCGATTCTCCTCTTCTACTCTGTAAATGGACCCCACTTTCTCGTCCTCCCTCCGCCGCCGACGACGGGAATTCTAATTCCGATCAAGTTTGTCGTCGCATGTTTCGTTATACTCCGGTGGGTCCCTTAATTTTTCCTTTTGTTTTTAAGAATTTTTCAAAATGAGGGTTTTAGGACAAGTATGAAATTAGGGTTTTTGGGTGGTTGAATGATTTCGATTGTGTTGAATGCTTTGCTAGAAAAAGAAATAAATTAGATATATATGTACCCTTTATTCTTAATTTTTCTGGGTTTTCAAAAATTATAAATTCCCCCTCTTTTTTTAGAGAATAAGGTTTTAAGTAGAAAGCTAGGGTTTTTGGATGAAGTTATTGTTATATGTTAAAAAGATGAACACTTTCATTGATGTTGGTTGCTTTTACTTATAATGATGAACACTTTCATTGATAATTTTTTTTGTCATTTTGTGATTGGCTATGAATTTCAGCTTGCATGATCATGATTTTGTTTAGACCCTACTTGATGATGGGTTTGATTCTATTAAATGACCTTAATCTTTGATAACGTGCTTACTTTAGTAATATAATATGTGTATGCTTACTGCTTATTAGTAATTAATTTTTGAATGTATAAGCTTTAATAAATTGGGGAAGTGTTGAATAATAGAGAACTATTGACAGTCTGATTATCGGAAATTTTTGGTTCCTGTGTTGTGGGAATTCTTATGACGCCTTTTCTTTTTCATGTAGAGCATGTTTGGTATAGTGTTTTTAAGGGGTGGAAATGGAATCAATTAATCCTTTCCATTACCAAATCTTTGGTATGAGAGGTAGGGTAAACACACTTCATTTCCTAAAGATAACCGTAAGTCCATAACCTCCCATTTGTTCCCCCTCCCAACCATATGGTTAGAATTCGCAAAGTTGTTTCCGGGTTTCCTTTCCTTAGGTGGTACCAAACAATTCATAATAACACTTAACATTACCCTTTCCTCTTTTCCATTCAATTTCTTTTCCTATATTCATGGCAAACAATGTCATCTTTAACATGGAAAACAAGTTGAAATTTTCTTGGTTTTTACTGGTTTAATTCCAACGTCAATTGACTAAAAGTACTTTGAGTTTCTAGATGCTGTAGTAATGTAATGTATGTGCTTCCAAAAATCAGTCAAAAAAAAAATATATATATATAATAAGGAATTTTAGAATGCTATGTGCGATAAGTACGCTGCTATTCCCATTGATGATTATGAATTTTCCCTTGGTAATTTTGAATGGAAGAAGAGCCTACTACCAGCTGCTATATATGATTGCAAGATTTTCTAACTGTACTTCTTACATCTAGATCAAGTGGACTCATCTTTTAATATCTCATTTCTGTATATTTTATGTTTATTATATGCTATAAACTCTTTTTATTATATTTACTCTTAGTTCAAGCTGACTGTCCACAACTTCCTTAGTACTTTGTAATAGGCTAGCGCTAGCCACTTTCTTTTTTGTTGTATTTGTGATTTAACATAATAGCTGTGTTTTAGAATGCATGTTATGTGTTACATAAATCATGGCTTTCAATTGCAGATTACCGTCTTTGAGGAGAAGAAGAAGCAGCTGACTGCAAAAGGAGTTGCTGGTGAAGATAAATCAGGAGAAACTGACCAGTATGCAGAAAAGGCAGTAATAGACAGTGAAGATATATATGGGTTGCTGGATATCAACACTGACCTCATGGGAGTACGTCAGGTAATAAGTTATTGCTAGACTTGCCTTAGCTAGTACTATTATTTTGATGGTGGGAAGGGAAACCACGAAGATAATTGATGTAGACAGATATGATGCGAGGTCTTAGGCAGCCTTAGCTTAGCTAGTTGTGAGGTATTAGTGTCCATAGATCAAGTTGAACCCATCCAGTATCCTTCACAATTTTTCTTATCTTTCTGTTTGTCTTCGTTTAATATATACCAAAAAGAACTTTTTGCTTCCGCAGACAGGCTTAGCCATTTTTATCATGGTCTGAAAAGTGAAAAATATCCTTGCTTGAAATTGTGTGCTTTATTTATTCATTTATTTATTTTTACCTTCTGATGGGCGCATGTATGGAGCTTATCTCCCTTCCATCTCACAAGTGATACACCCAATAGACGGTCTGAAGTCCTAGTTATCCATTTATGTAACTCTATGATGATAAGAGGAAAAAAAGAACAAAGGTGCAGGGATGAAATGGTATTCTGTATACGATGATTATGATCCATGGCTGATATGCATGAATTAGATTTTGTAGCTATCAGTATTTTAATCCTTGCTAATTTGTTTGCAGGGAACAACCAGTGACAGTGATCTAATTTATACAAGGAGAAGCCACTCGAATCTTGGTTTGCACCTGGAGAACAAGAATACCCAATCAGGTCTGCAAAAAAGAGGATTATGGGCTATTAATTGAAGGATTTTCGCCTGTAGATCGTACAGAAATAATGGCTTCGGTGTTGTGGATATTGTAGATTGATCCCATTCACTGGCTGACTGGCTGTGGTTAACCAGGTGGTAGTATTTTGTTAAAGGGCTTTGTAAGTATGACATCCTATGCTCTTGTCAAGGATGGTAAACCCTGGTGCAACTCTACGTTGCTTTAAATGTAATGTAATGTCAAATTCCTTGTAGAACGAATGTGTTGACAAGTTAATTCTCAGTGTTCATATATTGGGCAGAATTAAATCCTTCAGCCTTTTACTCATCCTTTATTGTTATTGTCCTACACTTTAAGGATAAGCAAGGGTCATATTCAGGGATGAGATTGATTTAATCGCAGACAGCAACAAGTAAGACAGATAAACAGGCTTTGCATTACTGGAAGTAATAGTATCAGCAACCTGAGTTTTTGTGGGGGAGAAAGATGAACCTATTCAACTTTGAAGAGCCTTCTCTTGTACTCACAGAGATCAAAGGAGCTTCTGCTCAAATTTTGCTTTCCATGAGCTATTCGGAGGGAAGAATAGCAGATGAACCTGTTTATGTTATGTTGTTATCCGCTAATATCCTAACAAGTTGCAATAGCCATCTAGGATAAGGCAAAGAAAACCATATGATCCATTTGCATAACAAGGGTCAAATTAGGTGATTTTTCTCAAAAACCAAATGCAGATGAAAGCGGAATTAGGTTAAGGCATAGTCTTTAGATGGGGATACTAATCTTCACACTTCCATCTAGCTATGAGAAATTGAGAATTCAATTTAGGTAGCATGAGAACATAAATTAATTTGGAGAGCATGTGATTGTTATTTGTTAATGGTTATTCAAAACGCAAAAGGCACAAACAACTAAAGGCAAACCATTACTCCATATAAAGTTAATTTTGTCTATTGTATATACGTTTTGGAGTGATTGTTAACTTATTTACTTAGTTAAAATCTTAGTAGTATACTAGTGTTGTACCTATAAAAATGGATATCAAATCTCATATACTTCATTTATCTTTTATGATTCTCTCTACACCCAATAAAAAAAAATAAAAAAAATAAAAAAAAACCTTAAGAAATTTTTTAAAAACATGATGAGTAGTACACCTATGACAACTACAAGTCTACAATTATATTTTTACGTCCATGGACCACATGTTCACTTCCCTCAGGTTTATGGCATACTTGTATTTAATTATTCATACAACAAATTCGTCAAATAACTATTTGGTCTATTTCTACTAAAAAAACAAAAAAAAAAATTACTAAAAAAACAATTTTTTTTTTCCTCAAAAAAACAACGATAGTTTGAAGAACTTTGAAAAGTTAACATGAGAGAATGTAGCATATTTCTTTAACTAGGTTAGGTCCCGTGTCATGCACGATAATTTTAAATAATTTTTCTTAAATTAAAACAATATTTAATTAAAAAAAAATTATCTAAAATATTATAATGAATTTATTATGAAAGAGTCTCTTAATCAGATAGGTATTTTAATATACGTATTTGACTATATCTATATAGTTTTGTATATTTTACCAACAAATTGGTATTTTTTTTTCCTTATTAACCAAATGAATTTCTTAAAACTATGTAATACGTATTTAATCTGTAAATAGATTTCTATTTTTATTTTTTTAGAAAGTAAATTGGTGTTGTAATAAACGTAGTACATTACACTCAATATGTCACATTTAAGAATCCGATTTTTTTCTTCTTAAATTTATACTCTGTAGTTGTTAATATTTTTTGTGGAAGGATACATCAAATCTTTTATTTTAAGTAATTTTTTATATTCATATTATTTTCTTGGAGCTTCTAATACACTGTATTATGTTATAAAAATATTCAAACATAGTTTTCAAGGATACATCAAATCTAATCTTTTATTTATGTATAAATTTGTTATACTTTATTTTTGTTTAAGATTTGTTTCCTAAATAGATTTTTGTTAAAAAAAAAAACTAAGAGACACACCAGAAAATGACACGTGTCATTGCTGGTGTTTCTTTTAGTATATAGTTATTGATAGGTAATGCTACTCAATTATGTGGTTTATATATGTCATATTTTTACAAATGTTAAAGCACTTACATTTTTACCAATGTTGACTTTTTAGACACTTCGTAATTTCTAATAAAATCCTAAATTAAATATACAACCAAATATTCAAAATAACATATGAGTAATTTTCCCATGCTGGCATTGGACTTGGTGCCAATCTGTGTTTCATGGGTGAGAATATGAGATGTTTTACACTGTTTTTTCAATCTTATTTTCATTTTACTTTAGCTTTGTTCCAATTGGTCCAATCAATTTCCTCCCTATAAGTTCATTCAGCTGAGTTTAGTTTATTGCATTCAACCCAAAAGAACATGGCTTAAGACTAAATTTTTTATACCCATGTAAAGTACAACTGCAGTTACCAAATCACTTGACCTTAATTGTTGCATTTTTTGCTTATAATTACCCAATTGACTCGACATCCAGAAGCTATAGCCCGTAACTATCCTGAAGCCACCAGTAAACTTAGCCTGTGATCACTTCATAAATACAAAGTAGAGCTAAATGTTGCTTTGAAGCTCATTTATGTTGTAATTGCAACAAATTTCAAGGGAAGGAGACAAAAAATAGTACCACGGAGGCAACTATGCTAACCTAGTGTCAGAAAAGTGTTGTAATATTCAGACAATTGCAAGCATTGACAAAATTCTCAGGTATAGTGAAGGGGCTTGGACAAGATATCTTGAGCTTCAAGAGCTGGCATCGTTATTTTCTACAGCAATGGTAACACCAACTTCAGCTGGTCGGATGATCCTGTCGTTAAGCATGTAGCCCGCCTGCATATGCCAAAATTAATTTACTTCACAGATAATCAAGGCCACTTTTAATAGCAACAGGACCTCACTTCAAGCCATTTAATTGAGGACTTGATAACATATAACTATTTCAGTATATTCAGAAGAAAGCTCTATAGTCTAAATGTTTCTTATTTTGAAGACAAGATCAATGTTGACCCCCTATGCCAAATCTATAGAGTAGAAGGCCACTAGAGGCCCTGAAACTAAGAAAGAATAGCAAGCCATTTCAAGGTGAGAAGACATAAAAAGGTTAGCAGAGAAACCATACAACACCATTCATCAATGCTTTTAATAGAGATAAAATTCAGATAGCACAAGCCTATATGACCAAATACTCTTTCTGTTTAGTGTGAAACTTCTGTGTTTCCTTTACGCAGGGCTCTTCCCCCCCTTAAGGATTGTAAAAAACAATAATACAAAAAAAAAAAAGATCAAAAAACATATCAACAATACCTTGTCCTCAAAACTAATTCAGCTTCACAATCAGATAATTTCTCATACCACAGCATGCCTTTAAGGCCCATTATCAACAAGTTTCATAAGACAACCACAGGCTAACACATGCAAAAACCCTCAAAGTATCTACATCCCAGAAGAGTAAACACATAAAAGTCACATATAAAAGAGAATTGCACGCAAGATAAACATACATGAGTAAAAAGACTAGATGAGCTGAACTTATTACTTTTTAAGAACCAAGAAATTACATCACATCAACTAACGTTCTTACACTTATATCTAGATCAAAGCACTGGACATTACCTTGAGGACAACAGCAACAGTGCCAGGAGGCTTAGAATTGTCAGGAACTTGAAACACAGCATTATGCCTGTTAGGATCAAATTGCTCATCAATAGATTCATATTTCTCAACACCAGCTTTTCTGAATACCTGAAAGAATAATGCTCTCTTAGCAAGAATATAATATGTGCAAGTGAAGTGGACGCCTACATTATTCGAATTTATACAATCATCTGATCTAGATCAAATTAACAAAAACTTTGTGGCAAATAGATAAACATGATACCAGTAAATTCTACAAAGTCAGCAATATAAAAATTACACTTACACTGTTAAAATTCAAACTAAGATGATGGGGAGGAGAGGGGTAGAAATCATGTAATAATATTCAAATTACTAGGAGGTGACTACAATAAATTAAGTATATGTTGGAAATATTATTACCTCTGCAAGCTGCTTTTCTGTCATTTCTACACCTTCCAGCAGGGTTTTCAAAAGTGGCATTGCTCCAACAGTCTCCTGAGAGACATCAATTTTATTGACACTCTCTCTGGTTACAGAGGCTGCTCTGCCAAGGTTGTCAGCAACATCCAGTAGATTCTTTGCAAAACTCTGCAGTATGAACAAGCAATGTGCCACAAAATATGTCAGAAGTGCTACTAAAGGAAATGTAATAGGAACCAGCATCCAAATCATAGACACAAACCTGCACGGCAAATTTCTTTGAGTTCTCTGCATCGCGTCGTGTTCTTTCCATGATATTCTCTAATTCGGCGTAACTACGAAGAAATTTGTCTTTAAATTCAGCAAACTCTTTTTGTTTGTTCTCCAAGGTTTTCTCCTTCTCCAGCACAAGTTTTACCAGATCTTCTTTGGAAAGGTCATCCATGTTTTCCTCGGAATCTGAATCAGAAAAGGCAGTTATTTTAGTGCCTCGACTCCGTCTTTTGACAGACTGAGACGTAGGTTGTGTATCTGAAGTAGAACCTGTTTCTTGACTTTGTGCAGAAGTCTCACTGTCTGCATTAATTCCCTCACCTGATTGCTTTGCACCATCAGCACCACCATTATCTCCTTTATTCTCAGCAGGTGTCCCCTGCTCTTGTTCAGGAGATGCAAAGGTTGACATTTCACGATGAGGGAAAGCAACAATTCTACATAGTCCATTATGCAAAGGAGATGCCTAGCAAAAACATACAAAATAGCTTTATTTCGTAATTAAAACATATATATAGAGCCAAAGAAAGATTAGCATACATTTCAAAGAACAAAATAAACATGCAAAATTTACCATCAATGTGCATTTAAAGAGGTCCCTATCAGACATAAAGGCTTAAACTTCACATGTACAAATCCCTGAATCAGATAGCAGTCGCACTACGATAAAAAATGGACACCTAAAATCCAATTTTCATCAAGGCAGGAAACATCATATGAACACAATCTGAAAGTATACAACTCTACAAGCCCCCACAGATTTTAATGATGATTTAGAAAAACCTCTTTCAAGAGATTCCAAAAACGTAAAAGCTCTCAAATTGAATACAGTAGTAATGGATGTGTACTGCAACTGAAGTAATATACAAGATTTTGAAACAAGAAAGGTTGGGACACAGGTAGTAGTCACGTCTCCACAATGAATTCCCCAAAAATGCAATCTACATTTATATTATAGGTGTAAGAATGGTGATCTAAGGCGTTAACAGGGTAAGATATCTTAGGAGAAATAACAACTTCCACTCTAGACGGGAATGTCAGACGCTCAATATATAAAACTGTTTAATGGCAAATAACAAGGGAGTAGAGAATACTTCGGAAAATAGCTGAAGACAACTTTAAGTGGCAAATCTAAAATCACACTCATATTGAACATGTAATAACTCATGTGTTTCAATCCTACAAAGTCTAGCCTAAATCCAGCCATCAAACCTATGAGAAATCCAAAACAAAGGCACCCATCTTCTGGAATACACAGAATACCGTAAAGGCATGGGGGCAAGGAAGAGAACAAAGGTCATTCTGATCCTTATATGATTATGCTTATCATAAGGCGTTAAACCATACATTGAAGAACATAAAGTAAAGCGGAGGGTAAACTAAGAATGTTAGCATGTCTATAACATTAAACTCATTTGGCTAAAAAAAAAAAAATACCGCAGCAACCCAACTTGATTATTCACTACCTTGTGGGGTAATATTTTCCCTCAACACCAATAAATAAACTAATGGATGATCTTCAAAATAGTTGTCTAGGTACCAATAAGCAGGAAAATCTTCAATTTCCCTAGTAAGCTTTATATCCTTAATGTATAACTATGTTTTCCCCTCACTAGTACCCATAGAGAAAGGGGAAAGAAAATAGATACCCACAGGCATACTTGTCAACTCAAAGGGGAAAGTAACAGATTGAAAGGGGAGGGGAGTTTTAGTTATTCACTTGAAGACCATGGTACCTTCATGCTTTTGAGTATGGCTATGCACAATTCTAGTGGTATGACAGAATTATGCGACTTAAACACATCAATGACAGAATTAATGTGACTTAAACACATTGGAAGATTAATCTCATTTAAAACATTCAAAATACTCTGAGATAATCAACACAACAGAGTATAAAATAGCTATTTATGAAGTTCAACTGAAAACAATGAACAACCACTGAAAACAGAATCTAGAAACCAACATAATCTAATTTCCCCTGCTCTGCTCCTGCTCCTGCTTCTTTGCCTGCATTGCCATCTGAGATAATTTCCTTGCCCGTCTAACCTCCGCAGCTCTTCTTGTGGATTGATGGCCATGCTCTCAAAAGAGAGACCAAAGAGTGTGGTGAATTCCTTTCCTCCACCACCCCGCTGACGAGCTTGTGGCATTCTCCACCTTCAAAGCGAATGAGTTCGTGAAATTCTCCACCGGGGGTGGCGTCAAAAGAACCGGAGAAGGTTGACATGTGAGGCAAGGTAATACATGAAAAAGAAGAATTGTGCATAGGGATACTCAAAAGCATAAAAGTACCATGGTCTTCTAGTGAATAGCTGAAACTCCCTTCCCCTTACAGTCTGTTACTTTCCCCTTTGAGTCGACAAGCATGCCTGTGGGTATCTGTTTTTTGTGTATACATTTTTCTATAATATTGCAGGAAAATCTACTAAGATAAAAAAGATTATATTTTTTTCCAATAACTTTTGTTTTTTACTTAAGACGCCTAAATCCATGATACCAGTAGCCAAATTTGATCAAAGAATTATCACCTCAGCAACTCCTCTAGATTATTCACTATAAGGCAGCAATAAAAGGCAAAACGTCAAAAAGAAAGAAAATTAATAATTTGTCAATAAAATAAAGGATCAGACCTAGTCACTAAAGTAGTTATGGCCATTTGTAAAAAGGGAAAAAAAAGTAATGGTAATGATTAGCATGATCTTGCAAGAGAAGTCACATGCCATGGTTTGTGGTGATGCAACTCTTCCCCCAACAAGTTCTTCTTGATAATTTTCCACCACCACTCAATACCACTTCTAAAGTAGTAATGTGTGGTGATGAAAAACAATTATTCAAATAAAAGATGAGGGTAAAGTTTACCATGGACAATGTCACATAACTTCCCTTGCTAAAAGCACAAAAACCAATCATATTACGGCCTACTATACATGCCACAAATTAATATGCATCATTATTTGGCAACATACTAGCCCTAGCACTTAACAAGAGCAAGATAAATAGATGAAAGTTAAATTCTCATCACTTCCCCTTATATATTACCTTTTCCTAGTGCATTAACTGTTACTCCCTTCATCCCACTTTTATAGGCCACATTTTAATTTAGGGGTGTCCCAAATTGTTAGGGAGCATATCTTGTAGTTATATCATGAAAATTCTCATTTAAAGTAGTTCTCTTACTTTATATAAAGACTTGATCCATACTATTCTTAAAGTTGCTAACAATTGTATATATTATCAAAAACATTTATGACATATCAAAAGAATAACATGACCTCTAATCAAATACAGCCTATTAAAGAGGGATGGATGGAGTATTAGTTAATGATTAGCTATTAAGAGATTTTCTAATCAATTAGCATACCCTAAACAATACGAAGTACATTACAACTATCGAAATTTATAATTCTACTACCATATGAGACCGAAATTCACAAAAATTTGCTCCAAGTTGACATATAACAAGTAAAGCCTTAAGCTTCCCTAGCAAAACCCAACAATATAGAGCAACAAAAAAAAACTTCAAGCGAAAATGAAACAAAAAAAAGGTCAGAATATCAAAAATACTCTAATTCTAAAAAAACACCTAATTCTCAAATTTTAAAACTAACTCGAACGCAAAATAATATATCAATTCTAAAATTTCAAAATTGGGACTTTAAAACAATAATCTTAATCTTTTAACACATCGTTACAGTTCATTTTGAACCAATTTGGAACACAAATATCATAAATTAGCTATTTTTTTTTAATAAATTAACAAAAATAATCTGAAAATCAGATCATGTAGGCTAAATCCTTAAACCCCAGCAAAACCCTGCTAAACAAAATAAACCCCTATAATAGTTTAAACAATTAACAAAAAAAACAGACAAAAATTCATCAAAACTAACGGTCAATTACCTTGCTAGAAACGTCGGAAAGAGAATGGAATCGATTACATAGGACAGAGAAAGGGGAATTGTGTTGATGAAGGGGAGGAGGAGAGAGAAAGTAGGCCCGACATTGGGAAAGCGTAGTTCTTGACGCTCTTCCCAAAACCCTAGTTAGCGACATTTTCGGCGCTTTGTGATGGAGAAATTTAGAGAGAGAAAGAAATTGAGGTTGATGAATTGAGGGAGAAGGGAGAAATTGTCTGAAGATTAAAGAAGGTTCTTGGAGAAGAAGCTAAAGAGGGGTGCGAAACGACGTCGTAATTGGGGCAAAGTTGGTTAATGCTCGTCGTTTTGGGATTTGGGGAGAGTATTTTGATTTGGATACGTGGGAGTTGTGACTTGAGGGTTTTTGGAAGGGTTTAGAAGGTTTGATAAATGGGGTTTAGAATATGAATAAGTATATGAAGGATGAACTAGTTGTTTTTCCGGGCGTAGTCCCGGGTTATTACATGTTTGATGTAATAAAAAATAAATTAAGCAAATTATTGAAGTGGGAAGTTTTTCTAAATGTGTAGGAATGAGATGAGATAATATTTGTGTTGGATCTATAAATTTTAATAATTTTTTGCTTAATTAAAAACACTAATGTTCATCATTAATCCTCCCGATCGGGCCGACTCTCGTCGCCTCTTCCCCTCACTCTCCTTTCCCTAATATGAACCTTGAGTCATCAAAGCCTTTCTGACTTGGCCTGGCCCGGTCGCCCTACGCGACTGGCGCTTCAAAAGGTAGTTTCTACTTGCTTACTTGTTAGAGTAAGGCGAAACTCTCGTCGTAGTTTGGCGATCTAAGGGGCGGACACTTTTTGTTATCTAGATCATTCGGAAAATAAAGTTCGATAGTAACATATCACTTCTTTCCTTTTGGGTAGGGAATCTATTATCAGGATAATCAGAACTGTAGTAATAATCCACATTACAATCATTAATAGGAACATAAGGACGAACAATCATGACACCTGCAGCATAAGGATAATGCAAATCAATTTCATCATTGATTTCCTTAAAACTTTTCTGGGATTCATCTAAATCACTAGATTTATCTGTATTGAGGGCCATCCTGCGTAAGCATCTGGATAATCGGGAATGCGACGTGGCATACCCGAAAGCCCTAAAAAATGCTTAAATACTTTCATATATAAGGGCTAGAAATCCTTGACCTGGCCCAATAATCTGACCCGAACTTACTGAGGAGAAATTCGAACCCAACCCGAACCCGAACAACCTAAATTCGACTCGATTTGACCTAAATTTCATATTTCGTAATAATATTTAGTTTACACTATTTTTGATAGTTTCTAAGCATAACCTGAAATCAACCCGAAATTTGACCCAAACCCGACCTGCTGACTCGAATTGCCACCTTGAAATATACACTTCAAAGCTCGTCACTTCATTTCCCTCTTAAAGTCTTAATATATAATTCGATGTACATAGTATAACTAATACTAATTTTTTCAAATCCCCTAACTTAATTTGTAGTCATGCTCACGTCTTCGTCTTCCACATAATCTCTCTCTTCATTCCAAAGAGGATAATAAATTAATAAATAACTTCATCTAACAACAATTTATAACAAACTATACTTGCTCGTCATCATGTACATGTTTTTTTTTCTTTTCTTTTTTTAATTTTTTTTGTGGACTTGAATCATGTACATGTTGAACTCACATTGTAGGTATTTGATTTGTGTTGAACCTTGATATGTTTATTTTATATAGTGTTTTACCCTCGTCCCTTGGTCATATTTAGGAGTATTTTTTGTTCTACGGAGCTACTTTTATTACTAATATGCGTTTTCTAGTGTTTTCGTATTGTTTTATAGGAAATTGCAGATTTGGAGCATTTTCCAGGACTTATTTGAGCCACTACCAGCATTGGAGTAGGATCGCGTTCATATGACCACATTCCGTAGCCCAAGACTGCGTTGGAGGAATCAAACCGGTGATTAAGGGCTCGACAGTTGAGAAGAGACCTAGGCAATGGACCGAGTGTTAAGGACCCAAAGGGGAAATCCAAATTGGTCAAAGAAAATAACCCAATCAAGAAGTCTAAGTTGCCCGGATGCTCGCCCGACCGGGTAAGCCCTCGCCCTGAGGCGCGCTTGGCCGAGCGAGGCAGATAGGAAGGAATAACCCTTCACCCGGAGGCGCGCTCAACCGGGCGCGTGTTTTTGAGGGTTTCTTAGCGATTCTTAATCTTTGTTTTAGCTTAGGATTTTTAGCTTGACTATAAATATACTTTGTTAAGCGAGATTTGCGAACATCATCCATTAGATAATTTCCAGATTTTTAGTTTTAAGCTTTGGAATAATACTCTTCTTCTCAACTCTTTTGGTTTATGCAATTCATTACTTCGGTTTATTTTGGTAACGATTTATTTCTCTTTTATTTTCAGTAATTTAATTGCTTTGATTAATCATGTCTTGTTATATTGCTTTGCTTAGTTTAGATTTTAATATGTATGAGTTGTTTTATTTCCAGGGTTTGTGGGGATCCATAAATAATATGAAGGAGTAATTTATTATTGCTGATTGTTAATGCTCGATTGATTTTATTGATCGATTTAATGTTATGCAATTAGATTTGGCAAGGTTTGATTGAATGAGTTATGCAATATTGATTCGAGATTCAAGATATGAGAATTGATGTTTAGGCTTAGTTTCAATAGGCAGGTTAATTTATAAATGGTAAAGTCAAGATTCGAGAGATGCGATTTAATAAAGTAGATTAATTATGTGATTAGAATACGTAGAGAAAGCCCTTTATGATTTGATTAATTGATACATTGATGATTGTTTATTGTGTTTTACCCTGGAATATTATTTATTGGTTTGATTTATTGATTTTTCCTTAAGTTTAACGTTGCTTTAGTTTATTTATTCTCCTCAGATTAATTCTCACAAAACAATTTGGCTACTTGATAATCTAGATTATATTTAATCATTTAGGAATAGAAAGACTTTGTTTCCCTCTGGATTCAACCCTACTTCCTTATCTTCTTGAGTTAGATGACTTAGGTAATTTTTTTGATTAGGAGATACGACTTTATCCTGTCAAACCTACACAAAATAACAACAACTGATAAAAGAAATCACTTAGGATTTTGATATTAATAAAGATGATAATTATTGTTTACCTTTTCACTTTTGCATGGTTGTTTAGTCCCTCCTTTTATTGATGTTTATTCAATCTTCCTCTCCACAATAACAGTGGCGGAGCCGCTATGTGTCTTGGTAGGGCACGTGCCCTACCATTTTTTTAAAGAAAAAAAAAATAAAAAAAAATAAGAAGTTAGTAAAAATTCATGTAAATAAAATACAAAATGTATTATAATCTTCAAACTTACCGATAGCCTAGTGGTTGGAACATTACCTTGTCTAGCAAAGGTTATGGGTTATAATCCCTTACTCAACATTCATTCTTTTATTCCTCTTTTTTTTTTTTGCTTAAATCCCTATTGTGGTACATAGATGTGTCTTGATTTTTTGTCTTATTGCGGTACGTAGATGTGTCTTGATTTTTTTTTAAAAAAAAATTAAAGACTTTAATAAAAGTTTTCCAGTAGTACGGTGCCCTACCATTGTTAAAATCATGGCTCTGCCATTGCATAACATCACCCATACAAAATACCATGAAGTAGATCAACCATTCTTGATGATCTCTCTTAGCTCCAATAATGGAAGCTAACATATTCTATTCTAATTTGGGATACAAAGGGGTGATTAGTAAGGACATATTTATTTGATTGAAAATGGATGATTTATATGAAAGGGTTATAACTTTCTAAACATTTATTTGAGAGAAAAATCAAATAATTTAATGAAATAAGAATTGGTGATGCCATTGGCATTAAAACTCTAAAGAACCAAGAATAATAATACTACATATGAAGGTGAAAAGTTGATATAGTGTGATATTTTATTTTTTGGTCAGTTACAAACTTAATTAGTATGAAGAAAAATAATTAGCTTTTCCATTTGTTATTATGGACAATGTCAGTTACAAATAAATTTTGGTCAATTTATTAAGACCATTGAATAGTTAAGCGTAAATCAAGGAAGAAACAACGTTATTATGCTAGAAACAATTAGGGAGTGTTCTTATTCACTATATGATAATTAATGAATCAGGTAATGGCTTGGTGGTGTATTGCTCATGGGAATATCGCTACAATTATCACATTGACATGTAATCGCTTATGTGTCGCTTTGTCAATTAAAGAAAGAGTGACACATGGCAAAAAGAGTGACACATGGTGGAATGATACTCCTTGCCTTGGAGTTTTAATAATACTATTGATTGATTGATATGAATACCAATGAAGCTAAATATGAAAATACAAGTGAAACCTTTCAAACATTTAAAAGGGGTAAATTTGTCATTCCAACCAATAAGTTGGGATTAATATTGTAATCTTGTATAAGAAATTAATGAATTCTAGAAAAAAAACAAAAGAGTTATAATGGAGAAATGGAAGGACTTCAATGGAGAAATAAATAGTTAAATGCATAAATCGAAGATGGTAAGGGGCTTTGGTGGAGAAAGATGACACCCATGTCATTCATTTCTCCATTTTTTATGGGTTTTTAATCGCCGCTAAAAATATGGTGGTAAAAGTAGGGGATTTGTTAAACATCGCCCGCGTTTTTCTACATAAAGCCCACATTTTTTAAAAATGTTGACATTATTGCCCTTGTTTTAATTTTTACCGAAAATAAAATTTTTCACTCATAAAAAATGTGGAGCAGGACTGGATCGCCGAGTGAAACCGAAGAGCCCTCAACGTCGGGTAGATGCACCGGAGAGACGCCGTTGACGCCGGAAAAGGAGGTACGAAGCCATCTAAAACCACGAATTGGCGGCTGGCGTCCTGCCGGGACGCCGTGACCGTAGTGGTGGCGCCTAGCCAGGACGCCGCCACCGTAACTCTGGCGCCTGGCCAGGACGCCGCCACCCTGGCCGTGGCGTCTGGCCAAGACGCCGCCGCCACGGTGGCGGCGTCCTGGCCAGGCGCCACCGCCACGGTGGCGGCGTCCTGGCTAGACGCCACCGCCACGGTGGCGGCGTCCTGGCTAGGCGCCACCACTATTTTTTATTTTTTTTTTTTTAATTTAATTTAAAATTTGTTTATTTTTTTTTTTTTGTGTTACAATTTTTTTCTTTTTTTTTTTGTTTTGTTTTTAATTGTTTTAATTTGTTTTTGTTTTTAATTTATTTAATTTTTATTTTTTTTTTTTACAATTTTTTTCGTTTTATGTTTTTTTTTTGTTTTTTTTTTTTGGTTTATTTTTATTTATTTAATCTAAAGTTTTGTTTATGTTTTTTATTTTTGTGTTTTGTTTTTTT